GGGATTGGGATGTAGACTGATCTTTTCCAATCCTCTGGCCACTGTTGTGTTTTCCAAACTTGCTGGCATATTGAATGTAGCACCTTAACAGCATCATCTTTTAAGATTTTAAATAGTTCAACTGGAATGTCATCACCTCCACTGGCCTTATTGTTAGCCAGGCTTTCTAAGGCCCACTTGACTTCACTCTCCCGGATGTCTGGCTCAAGGTCAGCAACTCCACCAATAAGACTCCATCAGTTTGTGTGGGGCTCTTTAGTTTAGAGAAAAAAGTTCCTGCATGATTGAGACATATAAAATTATGCAGGGTATGGATAAAGTGGATAGAGGGAAGCTCTTTTCCCTCCCTCCTAGAACCAGGGGACCTCCACTAAAATTGAGCGTTGGGAGAGTGAGAAGAAACCAAAGAAAATATTTCTTGACCCAGCATGGCATTTTTCTTGACACGCTGGCAAGGAACTCCTTGCCACAGGATGGCATCTGACCTAGATGACTTCAAAAGGGGATTGGACAGATTCCAGGAGGAAAATTCCATAGCAGGTGAAGCCATGTAGCCTTTCCTCATAAGGGATGTGCCCCAGCTCAGTCATAATTTTTGTCGCTCTCTAAGCATAAGAGGCAGAGATGAATGTAGACATTTATTTTGATTTATCCCCAGGAAGACCCTAGCACAGTCCAAAACAACTTGGATCTGGGGCAAGAAATTAGTGCGGTTTTCTACTGATGATAGTGGTAAAATGTTGTCTTAAGTATATTTGTTCTGTCTTTGAGATTTCTGCTTTGCGGTCAATTGCTGCCATCTGTGGTTACTTTTATGTAAGTTTACTGCAGTGGAAGGTTTTTGTCTAAGACCTGGTATGGTTACACCCACTGTGTCTCGTGCACAGTAATACACCGCTGTGTCTTCTGCTTTCAGGCTGTTCATTTGCAAGTAGAAGTTGGACCCTTCCTTTGATGCTGTGAATTGCCCTTGGATTTCAGAGGAATAATAACTGGTTGATCCAGGACGATGATAGCTCACAAGCCATTCCATTCCTTTGCCCGGTTTCTGTCTGATCCAGGCCATATAGTAGCTGTTGATGTCAAATCCTGTCACTGCACAGGCCAGTTTATGGGCTTCTCCAGGTTTCTTGGCTACTGGATCTGACTGGGTCAGAATCACCTGAGAGAAAGAACCTGATGAGGAAAAGGAAAGAGAAGATTATGAAAAAGAAAGAAAGAAAGAAAGAAAGAAAGAAAGAAAGAAAGAAAGAAGAAAGAAAGCTTGCCCTTACACTCTTGGACATGTTACTGTTCTTTCCATGAGCTTTAGAAGCTAGAAGAAGCTCTCTAACACATCCTACCATCCATCCTTTCTTACATCTCTCAGACGTCCCACTTTTTACACTCAAGAGCTGTAAACCAATTAACTTTGAAGAGGCGTACGTAACACAACTCTCCACCCAGAATTCTCATGATGTCCAGGTGTGTTATCTTGCTCCCAATTAGGATAGTATGTGTTGAATCTTCACACTGGGCCTCCTTCATCCTTGCCTCGTTATCGCACTTCTCCCTGTACCACGCAAACTGGAAAACAGTTTCACAGCCTATCACATTCCAGTGTCTTAGAATCATTTCACTTTGAACCTAACAGTTTCCATTTTATCTGACTACAAATCCCACTCTTCTTCAGATCATCACAAGCTTGACTTCTGATTAGTGTGTATTTTGTGACAGGCTGCACTCCCTGTGATAGCTGTTTTGCAACTGAACAACTCCTCCCCATGATGGCCATTTTGTGAAAGCGCCCATAATATTCGCTTCATATCTATCTATCTATCTATCTATCTATCTATCTATCTATCTATCTATCTATCTATCTATCTATTTATTTATTTGATTTATATCCTGCCCATCTGGTATATTTTACCATTCTGGGCGGCTTTACCTTGGAAGACCTGGTAAGGTCACTATGTCAGCTCCAACTTGATGGCAGATCACACTAACAGTTTCTTATTAGAAATAGTTTGATTTTTCCTCCCAAAGACCTACTAGTAAGAATAGCAGGAGGAGGAGGAGGAGAGGGAGGAGGAAGAGAAGGTCCTAAAACTGTAATTATTCTTGAAATTAATTGGACACATTACTCAATCGATTACAATTTCAATCTCCGCGCTCAACCTCTGCCTTTACAGGCAGAGGCCCAAACCACTGCGCTATCTTGTATATCCATGGGATTAAAATCTAAAGTATTTTTATTTTATTTATTTATTTATTGGACTTATATACCGCCCCATAGCGCTACAAGCACTCTCTGGGCGGTTTGCAATTTTTAATTATACAGGCTACACATTGCCCCCCCGAGGAGGAGGAGAAGGTCCTAAAACTGTAATTATTCTTGAAATTAATTGGACACATTACTCAATCGATTACAATTTC